ATATAAATATGAAAATTAATATATCAGAAAGCCAGAAAATTCAGAGTGAATGGAGGGTAGTTGACAACATAATTGTCTCATTTCTAATACTTAGAATAAAACTAATTTACTTTTTATTTTATTTTGGAGCAATCGTCGGTAGAAAGAGTACTTTTTAGCTATTTGGTTTGGAGGATATTTTTTATTCAAAAACAATAATAACATATCCAATTAAATTTTACTTAGTGGGTTATGGGGAGGGTAGAGTGTACACACATCTTATTATTACCTCGTGAAGGTAGATAAGTTGTTTCTGAAAGACCATCAGCCCAAGTACATCAAACTCAAGTAAAAGAAGAAGAAAACAACGAAGAAAGCATAACAGTACACAAGTAGTGTGATAATCAGAACGCAATACACAATATATGCCGATAAGTTATGTTTTGTACTCTTAAATAATTTATGCTCCGTTAGTCATAAATTCAATTTCTGAAGATAAAAATAAAAAATCAACCCATTTAAAGAATATGCAATCAAGTTAGGGCAAACAACATAAATTTCTCTAGTTTAGGGTTTAATTATGTGGCTTCTCATGAGTTTTTAAAATTATCATTCGTGTTAGATTTCGATCCCCAGATACATGTATCAGTCACGTCCACATAGATGTATTTTGGATACAAGAGAATACATTATATCCAAATGAATTCGCATGTATCTGACTCCCTCGCTCACCTCTCTCCATGTGTATCTGTATTTTAGAATGTATCTAGCTTGATCTATATGTATTTGGAATACACATGTTTTCTAGCTCGTCTTTCTCCTATCTCGCCCGCCTCGCTCCCTATATGTATATATATTTCAGAGTGTATCTCGTAGAAAAAATAAATATTTCTAGGTGTATCCGATTAGAAATCTAGGACGAAATTATTAATTAGCGATACAACATGTAATTAATTCAAATTATTAAAAAAATATGATAAAAATATTTATATAATTAGATAATTTTTACATTAGGTTTATGTATATTTTCGTTTGGGGTAAATGCAGAAGTTTGTTTCTAGCTGGCCGGTGGGAGCTATTGCGCAGATAATTTCTTCATCCAAATTAAAGTCTTACTTAATTTATCCTTTAGCGTGTCCCAGCATGATGCTATAATGTCTGTTTTGGATCAAATTCACATGATTTTTCTCGAGAGGTCTCGTATCGTTGAGAGATTCTACATTTTACATTTAACTATCCAATAGCATAGCAATGGGAATGTCCATTGGAAATTCACACACACACACACACATATATATATATATATATATATATATATATATTTTCATTCAGTATATTATAAATATCGAATACGAATAATTTTGACCTTTAAGACATCATGCTACCATCACCTTCAATTTGTAAATAACAAGAAGACCTAATTGGATTCCGCAGACTTACTACTACTACTTGAAGTCAGGTTTCTCATTTAAAACAAAGTTTTGCATTTATCATACATATTGAGCTGTCAAGCAGCAACAAAATTGTACACTTCGGGGTTACTTTACTTGTTACATTTTTTTATTATACGCCTCTTAAAAAATTATATATATGTTGGACTATACATCATATTTTTTAATTATTTAAAATATTAATCTTTCTACAGTAAATAAGAAGAGAGTTAATCTTAGCAATTATAATATTCGAGTATGTGTATAGGTTTTTCACTTGCATTTTTTATATTACTAGTAATAATTATTTTGAATCATTTATTTTTAATAAGGACGATAAGTAAAATAGTACAAAGAACGATGTAATATTTCCAACTATAATTACTCCTATTTTCTTGAAAAAAAAAGTTACGTGCAAGTGTTGGATGTATACAGCCAGCAGGTTGAGTTTATTTAATTTGGACAATATTTATGTGAATGCTTCTGAAACTAGACAGACCCACTTGTTTCTTGTTTTTCTCCTTATTTAATTTAATGTTTTTTTCCAATCAAAAAGGGAAATAACAAAGGAATAAATGAATAATAAATTATTTTAGGATAACTAATTTATGGATAAGATGAAATATCTCATATCTACAATCTTATGTAAGCAATGATCTAGGAAAAAACATCAAATTGATGAAAAGGGGATAAGTAGATCTTTGACTTCGATCCATTTCTATCAATGTGACCAAATCTAGGATATGCAAGTTTTGGTATAATCGAAAAATCAAATAAAAAAAAAATGTTAGGATTTAGGAGTATTAATTAGTTTATTGATTTTTAAAAACTTAAATCACATATTAGAATAAATATTTTATTGATTTATAATTGATTAGTTTAACATGTTTATAAATTAATAACAAGACAAAATTACATTTTGTAATATATAAAAATCAAAGTGAACCGATCAATATATGAAGCGATAGCCAAAAGCAACTGATTTAGTTTCCTCATACGTCAATGGTTAATAGTATCTTTTTGAGTCACGATTTAGAATGGAGACCAATGGTGTCTCACAACCAATAAGAGTTTCTAACGTTAGTAGATTTTTTTTTAAAATGATGAATAAATAAATAAATTGCAAGAGCCATCAAACATTGGATCAGATAAAGATACGATAGAATTAGTTCATAAAAATATGATTAATTTAAATTTGACTGGATAAATGCTCGTCCATTTATAAAGATAGTCTATCTTGACTTGCCTTAATTACATTCATTAAAATGTAAAATAGTAATCTAAATTGACTTATGAAAAATTTCGTTAAAATATTAAAGTAATTTTGAACTATGACTCATCATTTTATAATTAGCTTATCTAAGATTCATATCATTTAATTAAGTCCAAATAACTTTTAAGTAGGATTTAACAATTGTTGAAAATGCCAACTTCATTAATATAATCAATAGCATATATGTCACGGTGATAAGGTTTCACCTAGGAATGCATCAAAGGGAAAATTTAATATTTCTGGTTTCGTCATAGGCTGCATGCCATGGTTTGTAAGTTGTAACGATTTTGAGCAATCGCGTTAATGCGATGACTAATTTAAATTTGTATTATTGTTATGTCAAAACCCTTCACTATATTCAAACTACGTTTAACTTCTATTCACTTACATTATAAGTAAATATAAATAAATTGGGATTCATTTGATAGTTGGAAAATGCATCTTATAGATCAATTTGGATAACCCTCTTAATTACTCTTTGTAAGTCCATATATAGCTAGAAAGTTTATCCGATCAATTTGCTTCAACATAAGAATTACTAATACTTATCTTTGATTAATTAGATGTAATTAGTCTTCTATTATCTGTCACATGCCTTCTTTGATCCTTACAACTGTGAAATAAAAGTGGTGAATTAATGACAATGATTAATTTATGCAAAAGGGATACTATCTATTAAGTATTATTTTTAGGCTGAATATATCAACATAAATTTTATATTCAAACTATATATGGCCTGTTTAAGTTAAGTACCATATGAAATTTTGAATTGAAATAATTTATATGTAATATACGTAATTATATATCATACCAAGCACAGCAGAATAATAATATTCATTGAATTTTAAAACTAATACGAATAATTACTGTAGTAGCCGTACACTAGTTTTAAATTTAAAAAATAAACCTGGATATATCAGGGGTAATTTTAGAAAAGAAATAGACATCCAAGTAGGACTCCACTCATTTATAAATTCAAAATTTAAATAATGCAAGGAGATTCACATAATTAAATTTATCAAAGACAACATATTGAAATTGAGGGGTAAAAAACAATTACAGGTATGACACAGCCATGCATGAGAAGGAACTGGAAGGATAATCTTAAATTTGGTAAGGAGCGTTTTAGCTTTTAATATAAAATTTTATAATATAAATTTAAATTTAAGCCTTTATATAGATATTCGACACCAATTGAAAAATCAAATAAAAGAAGGAAGGAAGGAATCAATTACAGTTTGATTATTTCACGTACTTTTTGTTGCTATACTAACGTATGTTAAAGTCTTAAAGATGTATATGTTTAATTATTTGTTTTCATTATTGTATGTTTCATATAATTATGTAAAAATAACTCTTACTCAACTCTTTTTATTTAATTTCATGTGGTATTTTTCGATCTCGAAATTCAAATAAATTTATCTTTGATCATAATTTTATAAATTTGATTCTAAAAAAACTTGAATATTTCATCTCCAAATTTACAGTCAAACTTAAATTGTTTGACTCTCGGAATCCAATAATATCACATTGACTTTTGAACTTTGATTTTCGAGATCTAAACAAGCCTATTTTTTTAAAAATAATTTTATGTGTAAATTCACGATCAAACTTAATTGTTTGACTCTCAATATTTAAACTATATCATATAAATAAATAACTATCAAAGTCCGAGACTCGATAAGATTAGGGTTGATGCTAGCGTAGATAGTGAGTGTATTTGGTTCGAAAGTCTTTTTCTGAATTCAGAAAAAATAATGTTTAATTGCACGGTAACAAATATAAACTCAGAAATTAAAGATTAATAATGAATTTATCAAATCAAATATTATTTTTATTTTATTTTTTGTATGAGATAGCACGCATGATGGAATAAACAAAAATAATCATTTGATTATTTCATACATTCATCAATATTCATAGATTAGCTAATACCTTAACCCAAAAATAAAATAAAATTAAAATTATTATCCTTTATCACATTTACCTTAGCTGAGAACAAAAAAATCCTTAAAAAGAATAAAAGTAATTTTTAACAAGCTAAACAATATTATTATTATTTTCAAAAAAAGCCACACCAAACACGCACATATATATATATTTTAGTCCACTAAGAAAAACATTAGAAATGCAGCATAAAGGGATCATTAAATTAAACAAACAAAAAAAATTGACATTCAAAAAAGAATTTAAAATTCAATAACATCCCAACAAAACTTTTTCCTTTAGAGCTAAATAAATAAAAATAATTTAAAACCTAAAAAAAAGCCTCAAATATATGGAAAATCCCATCAATTTCTCATCAAGAGAAGCTTTGCTTATGTATGAACTGGCGTTATCGCCGGCGCCGCCACACCAAACGTACACAAACTCGAACACTTCACTCCTCCGCTTCCACCACCGCCGATCACAACACCACCACCACCCCCATTAACCAATGCCGATTCACTCTCCTCCGGCGCCGTCCGATCAATCTCCCCTTGATCACAACCATCCTTTTCAACCACATCGCCTCCATCAGCAGCATCGTCGTCATCATCTGAATCACCAACGTCGTCGTTTAACGGAATGAGATTCAGCATTAACCTTCCTTCAGTACGGTGAGTCTCGAAATACTCAAATCGCTTCACTTTCTCCTCTTTGATAATCAATCGTCCATCAGAGGTATGATACCTCTTCATCACCCACGGCATTTGTGAAGACGGAACATTCTCCGTCTTCGCAAGCCCTGGGATCGGCGGCGGATATTCCCTCTCAATTTTCACTTTCTTCTTCTCTCTCCTTAATCCAAAAACTCCTTCTCCGCCGCCGCTGGTGCAGCTGAACCACCCATAAGTTCCCAATTTTGAATCGAAAATCAATTCAACACCGCCATCAACACTACCAACTGATTTTGATTTCTCCATGGTAGAAATTTGGGAGTTTTTTGCATGGCATGGGGGATGGAGAAAAAATGTGAAGAAGAGTAGGAGTATATATAGGGGGTGGGGTAGGTGGGGTAGGGTTGGGGTAAAGAAAAAGAATATATTGAAGAAAGGGAAAACAGAGATTTTAATTTGGCAGTGACAGCTAATACTTTGCTCATACTACAATCTCCGGGGATTGGGTTATTCATTTAAGGGATTTATTTTAAAAAATATTCAGATGGTAAAAAAAAAAAAAAAAAACTAAAATTTAGCACCTAATCCCATAATTTACTCAAGGTAAATAACAAAACTTACTATTTAAAGGGTTTAAATATTCCATTTTAAGAAAAAAAGATACAAAGTCACTAGTCTTGTAAAAACAAAGTTTAGTTAATGTATGTTTTCACTCTAATTAATTTTACTTACCAAGCTAGATTAATGAGATAATATTTACTTACCATCCTACTCATTTAACAGATAAGGATGACTAAAATCAGGTTATTGAATTACTTGACAATTGAAATTAAAGTAAGTTTACTACTATTAAGGTAAGTATTCTTTTTTTCCACCACTGTCCTTTGTTTTTAATGAATAAGAAAAAAAATTAGTCATAAGTCAAAGATTTATTAACACGCATTTGACAATATAATGATATCACTAACCTTAATCATATTTCATTATTACATAATATAAAAAGGAGTATCTGAAATTAAAAATGTACACTTGGATTCACTTTATAGTCTCATAATAATTAAATAGAAGGAGTTCTAGCAAAACAACCTTAGTAGATAATTTAATAAAAAAAAGTTGGAAAATATCTTGGAACTGCTAACTTTTAACTTTTATAATGAGATGTCAATGATTGATGATAGTGTAGTTCTAGCATCTTTAGGAATATTTTTTTTAATTATATTATTATTATTATTATTATACTTCTGGTAATGCTAAATGACTAGAAAATTTGACTAGGAATTTAAAAAAATTATAATATTTTTTTTATTTTAAAATAAATTAATCTTTTTTTTATTTTTTAATTAAAAGGTATTAAAGTTAAAAGGGTAAAAATGATTTAAAAAGTAAAACAACATAAGTAAAATACCATTCTGGCCAAATTTTCTGGCCAAAAGGTTTTTTCCTATACTTATTACTCCCTCCGTTTCAAAAAGAGTGGCCTAGTTTGACTTGGCACTGAGTTTAAGAAAATTAAAAAAAAAATTTTGAATCTTGTGGTCCTAAATTAAAGTTATGTAAAATGTACAAAACTGTTCTTTAATCTTGTGGCCTTACACATGCCACGTGGAAAGCTGAAATTAAAATGTTACCAAAAAGAGAAAGAGGTCATTCATTTTGAAATAGACTAAAAAGAAAATGGGGTCATTCTTTTTTAAAAAGAGAAAGTATTTTTTTTTTAAAGTACGAAGAATTAAGACATGGGGTTTGTGGTAGTTTTGTTCTATGTAAATTAAAGGAAGAAAGAGGAAATTTAGCTGGCGTTTGGACATAAAAATTATGAAATTCAGAAAAAATAGAAATATAATTTTTTTTAATTTGTTTGGCTTACTTTAATTAGGCACAAAGTTTAAGAAAAAAAATTGAATCTTATAATTAATTAAATATACTAAAATGTTTACTAATTTTATAATTTTAAACAGATAGAAAAAAATTAAAATTGAAAAGTTTATTTTAAAAAAAAGGAAAAAAATCAATTTTTAAAAATGGATTAAAAAGAAAAGTAGCTCACTTCAAACAGAAAAAAAGAGAGTAGTATATATCTTTTTTCATCCATGGCCAAATGAGAATTAATAATAATAATATATATAGTATATGGTTTTATATATTTGGCAGAATGGGTTGATTTAGGTGGCATGTCAGTGTACACCTAGCCATGTAGGTTTACACGTGGTTGGCACGTGTACAAACACCTTCTTGGCCTTATTGTAGGACCCCAACTACTTCTACTATCATCCCATTAGATGCGTTGGTTTTATGTTTTTCATATTCATCTTTTGAGTTTCGACTAATTCAAATTTGTTTGAAAAAAACAATACTTTGAGGGTATGTGCATGTTATTCTCACAATTGATACACCAAAAAAGAACTGCAGAGGTACTGAATATCTGATGGTCTGAAAGGTTTTGTTCGTGCACACGTTAGATGGCAATTTCAGAATTACTGAATATATATATATATTTCTCAGAATCTAATGCTTTAAAAGAAAATGGAAAATACTGAATATTGTTCATTTGTTTGTATATATTTCTCAGATTACGTGTAACCTCGTGAAAATATTCTTTCAATTTTAATTTTTGAAAAATATAATATGAAAAAGTTAGAAACTATATACATTGTCGATATGTGATAATTTTGTACAATCGATCACCTTTATATGTTATGCGAGATTATTTTATTTTATTTTGAAGTAATTTATCTTATTTTCAGTATTCAATATCTACAATTATTATTTTACAATTTTTAAATTTATTCCCAACTCACTCAACAAAGATTGTTCCAAAGCAGTCCCTTAACTATCCGCCAAATAAGAGATAATAAATTTCGATATAAAATATAAATTTATTTTATTTTGTGTTTGATTATATTAAAATTATTTATGCTATATTTGAGATGTTATTTTTATATCACACTTTACATGGGATAATAATTTCGAAATTGCTAATCTCATAAACCAACAAATGAGGTATTTCCTTCTTTCTCAAAACTCTTGTCTTGTAAAAAAGTTGAGATTAAAATTGAAAACATTTTTTAAAAATCGAAATCGATCATGTTATATTCGTATAAATCATTGTTTATGATGAACCAGACATCTATCAATAAAAAAGTACTAAATAATTTTAGTTTCAATATAACTTATTCACAAAAGTCAAGGACCCCTTATATCATTCTTTTAATTAATTCCAACACACATTTCAGCTGAACTCGACAGCTTTTGTTTTCCGTTTTTGGTTTCTTCAGAAAAGTTCTTTATAACTAATTTAATCATAAGCAAACAATCATTAGGGGATATTTTATTAAATAAAATGCAAGTTCCATGGGCGAGAAAATGACAAAATGGTCCCATTAATTAGGTTCAAAAAATATTTATGCATGCATTGAAAGTCTGGCGGAGGTGATTAGATAGCATATGACAGTTTCAGTTTATTGATAATATGAGTTTAGATAGGAGGTTGTGAATACCACATATTAGGATAGGAGGTTAGTAAATAATGGTATATTGTCGTAGGGGTAGTATTGCTCATGTAGTTTCTTGTCTTTTCATTTTGTCATCATTAAGGTGTTTCTTGTACTTCGACTATCATATTATTTTATTGTAGTTACTGTGATAGTTTCACTTCTATTTATTCGACTATCATAATATAAAAAGGATTGATTGTATTACTCCAATTTTGGAGGAGGTAATATATAAAGTATTCTAGTCAGACATGAACGGATTATCTGGCACTAAACTTGGAAAAGATGATTATTTAATTAATTAATTTTTCTAAGTTAATAATTTCATAATCTATGACGAGATCCCAACAAAGATCATCTCCAAGACATGCCATATAAAGCTCTCATATTATTCTTAATTTTAATCCCAACACATTTCAGCTTTACTCCACAACATTTTTTCTTTTCTTTTTTTGAGGTCTCTTAATTTTTTTTTAAAAAGGGCTCTTTATAACTAAAGTAATCATAAGCAAAAAAAAAAAAGTCCATGAACTCTGCTAGGTGTTGTAATGTTTCAACCAAAATACAAATTAATTAAGGTGATAATAGCTAATTAACTAATTGGATGAATTACGTAAACAACTAATTCACGGGATTAACTATAGAAAAGATATAGGATTACTCTAATTCTGGAGGAAGTAATATTTATATTGCAATTGTCTAGTCAGAGACTTAATCTAACGGGTTATCTGGCACTAAACTTGGAATATGGAAATTTGGCACCGATTATTAACAGTCATAAATGACATGAAATAACATTACTATGAAAAAATTGGAACTAAATTGTCAGGATGTCAAATGGCCGGACCAGGTTACATTTGAAATTGAGTTAATTAATGAACAGACTATTGACTCGCTTAAATGTTATTTGAGTAATCATTACTCAACCAACAACAACACTCTTTCGAAAAAAAGAAAGCCCAGTGGAAATCTGTGAGAGCCCATCCTGTAAACTGTCCATTAAACTTGGATCGTCTCAGTCATATACGACACTGGGCTTCACAGTTAGGTTGAGTGAGACAATCCAAGTCTAATGGACAGTGAAATGATATACTAATATCATTTTCACTTTTAAACACATTATACATTTGAACTAAAGATTTATCAGCAAACAGGACTTGAATACTACCAACATATGACACTATTCGATTAAGAAATTCCATGGCAGATACCTTCAACATCTCCAAAACTTGACAACATAGTCGATGAAACATGGCAGATGCTGCAAGTACAACATTTTGGGCACCAGAGAAAAGGGTCAGGGGCTATGATCACAATAATATCCGCATGATTCATTCCGTTCAATCTTTCTACAGGGCAAGTCTTCTCAAACACTATATTGATATATTATGGCTTTATTGAATAAACTTACTTTTTCATGCAATTGTTAAAAACGAAGGAGAAGATGAAGCACGGTGAGGAAAGTAATCAGTGATGAACATGATTGGCACATAACAGGTGGTGGTTATCGTACTAATGGAAACTTGGTAAAATATGGCATGTATACAAATATAACGCTAAGCCCATAGTACAAACATTATTGAGTATGAGCTTCAAATAATTGCAAACAAAGAAGCTAGACAGATGCAGTTAACAAGAACATATTCAAGTGAACTCATTCAACAACATACCCAACAAAATTGTTTATCAGCAAGTGAACTCATTCAGATATGCAAAATTATCAAGGGAAATTGATCTATGAATAAATCATAATGTATTTGGCCTCAAACTTCTGGAGAAATGATAAAACCAACAAAACTAGATAATACCAAAATA